GATAAGAATTATCTTAGGTGAAGGGAAGGACAGCACACACTACAGGGGAAGTCAGCACAACTGGACTAAACCAAAGCTAAGAAGTTTCCTGAATACAGTCAAACACTTTGAGGGACAGAGTAGCAGGGGTAGGGGTCTGGGGACCATGCTTTCAGGGGACGTCTAGGTCAATTGGCATAACAAAGCTTATTAAGAAAAGGTACTGCACCCTACTTTGGTGAGTGGCATCTGGAGTCTTAAAAGCTTGCAAGCGGCCATCTAAGATGCATCAATTGGCCCCAACCACCTGGAGTAAAGGAGAATGAAGAATAACAAAGACACAAGGAAAGTATTAGCCCAAGAGACAGAAAGGGCCACGTAAACCAGAGACTTCATCAGCCTGAGACTAGAAGAACTAGGTGGTGCCCGGCTACCACCAATGACCTCCCTGACAGGGAACACAGCAGAGAGTCCTGGATGGAGCAGGAGAATGGTGGGGTGCAGAACTCAAATTCTAGTAAGAAGACCAGACTTAATGGTCTGACTGAGACTGGAGGAACCCTGGAAAGCATGGCTCCTGGATTCTCTATCAGCCTGGAACTAAAACAATTTCCGAGGCCAACTCTTCAGACAGGGATTGGACTGGACTGTGGGACATAAAGTGATACTCAGGAGGAGTGTGCTTCTTAGCTCAAGTAGATACAAGAGACTAAACGGGCAGCTTCTGTCTGGAGGTGAGATGGGAAGGCAGAGAGGATTTGGAGCTGGTTGAATGGACATGGGGAATCGGGTGGAAAGGAGGAGTGTGCTGTCACAGTATGGGGAGAGCAATTAGTCACATAATAATGTATGTATAAATTTTTGTATGGGAAAAAAAAAAAATTCTGCCAAGGCTAAATGTGTCCAAAGAGAAATAAACTTGCTATGTCTCTTGCAAAACCCATTGCCCTCCCACCCCCTAGTCTTGTGGCAAGAGTTTTTCAGTGTTCTGATACTAGTTATAAGATGGGATTTGCTGTGTGGCCTGGGTGTTTGTGCTTGCCTTAACCTTGGCTTTTCTCTCTGTAAAATGGGGTAATTTGTGAGTTAAGGGCAAGCAGGGAAATGTGTTATTATAATTAGACCTTAGGCAAAAATAAATTCCTATGAACTTAAGGAGTTGTGGGAAGAAAAAAATAGGTGAACCATAAACTAAAGGATCATATCCGTATTTTTGGGGCTACTTGAGTGAGTGAGCTGCAGCAGTTACCTGGTGAGTGATCTGTTCTTACACATTAGAACCTTGAAAGAGGAACCATTCTTTCAGGGTAATGGATCAGATTTGGGTACAAAAGACTGGGAAAGTGATGTACAAAGGCATTTGATGCCACACAATAATAGTACTTTGAGAGGGCCAGTGTGTGGCATAGTGCCCATGAGGAGATCAGAATTCACCTCGAGTTCCTGGGATGGGGAGAGCTGTGGAGATGCTAACTCGGCTCCTTGGGGGCCTGGGGTTGGGGCGGGACATTTTTCTTTCTTCTTTTTTTTTTTTTTTTGAGTGGAATCTTAGCAATTAATAAAAGCCTTAGAATCATGGCCGGTGAGTTCACTTCAGCCTTCTTCAGTTACTAGTGTGGGGACAGATGGCGCTCTGCCGCTGATGGTCAAAACTCAGGGGGAAACAATGGGTGAGAATCTGAGGTAGGCCCTCAGGGGCTGCTCCTAAGTTTGAAGAAACAGTTGTTATTGTTTTGTTTCCTTGAAATATCCTCTCTCTCTGTCTCTCGCATATGCACACACACACA